CTCTCTCTCTCTCTCTCTCTCTCTCTACTCTACTAAAATTTATTTCCCGAAAGGATCGGACGTCCATCCCGAATACGACGCCTACTTTCAATTCCATCGAAACTAGCAGCGATTCAGATTCGATTATTATTTCACAAACTTGTGAGAGTAGAAGGTAAATCCCCATTTTTTATTCCCTCAGTATTTCGCCCTCTTTGTTCACATCGCTTGCCACTTTTCTATCAAGCGCGTCTATTCACTTTGCCTCTTAAAAACTGAATATAATTAGACTGCACGATTTCACATGAATTTATGGGATATTTAAAAGATAAAAAATGCACATGATGTGCAGAAATATTTAAATATATACATTGTTATGATATTTAGTAGACGAAATAAATTTTTAATCCTTCCATGGATAATCCTGTTGTGATTTACAGCGAAGAGCATAGCTGTGAAAATTTCAATAACAGTGAAAATTGTCAATAATTTAAACTGTTATAAGTTATGACAGAATATAAGTTATAACGGAATACCACAAAAAAATATTATACAACAATCTTATTTTGAAGTTTAGGTTAGGTTTAAGTTAGGTTTACAACGATCTCTTGTAAACCTGCTGTAATTTTTTTTATTATTTTGAATATGATGAACTGAACGAACTGAACTATAAATATTAAATGATGAATTGTTAGGATTTTTTGAATTTTTGTTGTTTGAAATGCTGGGAAAAAGTCGTGTAGCAAATTTTAACGACTCGTTGTAAAGGGAAGTCTTCATTCTTTAAAATAATCTAGTCAAGAAAAAAATTTTCAATGTCTACTTTAAAAAAACACGAACTTACGGTTATCAAAGCAGAGGTGTTGATCTTTAAAATGGTTGACTATTGCAACCATTTTAATAAATATAATAAAACCATTTTAATAAATAAAATATAATAAAACCATTTTAATAAATATAATAAAAACCATGTTGACTATTGCAAAGTCGATATCATTGATTCAATTATACTCTTCGTTGTATTTCGGATATTTAATTTCGCTTCGTATTATGTTTCAAATTCTCCCTGATCAAGGTTAAACAAAATGAAAAATTCCAAGATTATGTAATATAAATTTGCATAAATATCCTCAGTCTAGATATACCTACATCTTTAAAATGTACTAAAACATCGGTATACCAATTTCCAACGAACTGCCACCTATCGTCAAAGTAGGTATTGCCATTTCTTTCATGCGATCAAGTATATTTATCGCGACGATTAGCGTGGTCCGCTCGATGGCATGTCGAATGAGAAATCCACCTAATCTACCTCCGGGGATAATTTATTCGTCGAAAGGAAGTGGAATTCAATACGTTCTTTCCCCGGCGTCTTATCGAAATTGTAAATCAGCCTCGGCATCCGTAACTTCGTTCGGAAACGTGTAAGTATAATTGTCCCCGCGAGGGGCGAACTTGCGCCGGGCCATTTAATCGGGGAAACTTTGCAGGTGGATAATCTGCGGAGTTCTTCAAGCCGTTCCCGGTTCTTTGATAAAGTCGCGAGCACGCTAATCTATTCGCGATTTCTCCAGATATAATCTTCACCCACTCGCAGACGCAGTCAGGGTTCGAGCCGAGTGTCAATTCGCCTCGTTCGGCCGATACGTTCGCCGAGCGCTAGAACGTTAGATCGCCAATTGACGAGAAATCTCATTGAAACGCCTCTAATTCGTTCGACGAAACTTTAATTGAGTTCGCCAGACTCCCATCGACGAGCGATTTCTCGTCGAACGCGATTTTATTCGCGACAAGCGAAAGATGAACTCGAACTTATTAATCCATTAAGAAACGTAATATTGTAAAGCGTAGTATTATAAATCATAGGTTATTATCATAGGTCGTTGTCAAGTTATAACCTGTAGTTATTGCATCTTTAGTTGCATTTAATTACAACAGATGGTCTGCAGTGTGAAAGAGATGGGAATTATGAATGCGGTGCGACAAGTGCGACAAGTTAGCGTGGCGCGTTTTTCTTTTTGAAAAAGAAGAAAGTTGAAAACAGAGTCGATTTGAGTTATGATCACATACATATTAGTTGTTAATCTGTGTTCTTTACCTTGTCTAATTATCTATTGTTGTAATCACTAACATTGTTATTGAATAGATATCAACTATATTTAATCCCTACATAAATACTTCGACCGTTTTAAATTTTCATGAAACTTGGGATTGGTTTTCTTTCAACGTTCGAGAATAACAACAAAGCGTTGCTACGATGGAACATTATTACTTGACATTATATCCTGACGTTGTAAAGCAACGTTAGTTACGTTTTCGTTTGGAAATTTCCAACGTTCGCGAACTGAGAATAGAATTCTAAGTAGAACTCTAAGTAATCTCAGTTTTTTATTTTTAATTTGGAAATCTCGTTCGACGATATTAAAAAAAAAAAAAGAAAAAAAAAGTAAAGAACGCGTATCCGCATGTCGTCTCTTGAAATACAAATTCCAGGGAAATCGGCGGATTTGCCGCGCCCTCTGTGCGTGATGCCACATGGAAACGCAAATCCCGGCAACAAATGCTAAAACCACTGAATGCCGCGTCACGCTGCGCTCGTGCACAATCCGTCATTTCACGGTTTTCTGGCCACGGTTGTCGCGAATTTATCATCGGCAGCTGCGTGCCGGCGGCAACTTCGAAACGAGTAGTTTACGGAGTTTACTCGAACCATCGGTTGAAGCCGGTCGAAGTCGACGCCGACAGTACATCCTTGTACTGTCGCTAATCTGTACGGTCGAATTTAGCCCGGGAATTATTGATATTATTTCGACGTCATCGCTTAACGTCGGCAACGTTAGGCGAAAGGGGCAGGGGGACTCTTGGTGGCTGCACACGGACTTAATTAGGATAAGCACTTTCCAGCAGAGACGTCATATTCGAAGTGGTTTAAGTTCGGTTCTCGTTGTCGGTAGCACACGGCCGCCGATGTCTTTCTCAAGCGGCGGAACATGTTTCGCTAACTAACAAATTGACAAACCCTGCGGCTCGATTCGCGCCGGGAGACATTCACCTGGTAAATGCCGGCGCAGTTAGTTAGCCTGATACTGCCTGGCAGACTCGATAGTTTTCGCTGGATGAAGCAAAGCCGGGCCACGAATGCGCTCCAGCTGCTGGAAACTTGGGTAAAACAGGACGAGATAACTGCGAATTCATGTACGGGCTCTCCGATTTACCGGTGTACGTGCTCGTCACCGTGTTATTTTCGTCGGCGCGTTCGTCCTTTGCGGGGGATAATTAAATAAATTTCGGACAAAAGACTAATCAGTTCCCGAAAATTAAACAGATACGCAATTCGATTGTCACGATTATTACGGCTATGTTTTTTCACATTACGCGAGGAGAATTCTTCGGATATTCATTGTTATTCTGGCAATAATCTAATTAAATAATCCGATCTAACAAT